GAAGCGGTGAATGCTCCAACACTGGAAGTTTTTAAGAAGAGACTGGACAGCCATTTGTCCGAAATGGTATAGGGTTTCCTGCCTGAGCAGGGGGTTGGACTAGATGACCTTCAAGGTCCCTTCCAACTTTACTATTATTATTATTATTATTATTATTATTATTATTATTATTATTATTATTATTATTATTATTATTAATTATTATTATTATTATTATTATTATTATTATTATTATTATTATTATTCCACATTTTGACTTACTATGTCAAAACCTGACTGTAAGCATCTAACCAAAACAGCAGGGTTATTAATGGGTAGGCATGAAAGAGGATTACAAAAGAAGCTACAAATTCAAAATTACATTAATTCCAGAATCCAATGGTAATTGCTAGAGATTTTTTTAAAGAGGAGAAATTAAAAGAGCACACAGGATAACAAATTACAGGTAGTCCTTGACCAGTGATTGTAATGGAATTATGGCCAAAAGTTTTTGATAGCCATTAAAGGAAGGGCCCATGCAATATCCTCACCTAATGATCACCCTTCTCCCATGCAGCTGAGTAGATTTGCAAGCAGTAGGCTTGGGGGAAGTAAAAGTGAGCGGCAGGCTTGCAAGCACTCAGAAAAGCAAATTTCTCCATCCCTAGGCCATGTTCCTCTGTTCCAGAAGGGAGCACTATTTTGGAGTAGCCACAATTCACTGTGGCCTCTCTGAAAATGGTAGTTACTCTGGAGGACAAGGGCATGCTGCCTACAGACACGGAGCGATAGAACTGCTGCTTCCCCAACCTGAACTCCAGAACTTCCAAAAGGAGATCTACGGTAAAAGATGAGTGATTTGTGGCAGGGATGGGAAAGAGCATGTGGGAAGTAGGCCCAAGGCTTGTGGGGACTCCAAGGGATTTCAAAACCAAATCCTAAGTAGCTTTTGGGGAGGCAACCATTTTTAAGTCAAGGACTACCTGTATAAAACAAGAACAATTTTAGTTAAGACATTGTTTTTTCTTATCATTCTCTTCTCTCTATAAATCCCTATTCATCTCTCTGTCCTCCAAATATTTCCCTCTCATTTTTGCAATTCTCATCACATATAAGTTCTATTTATATCCTAGTCTCTGGAATTCATAATTTAACTGTGATTTAATATTAGCAATAGTAGCAATCCCTGACTACACTGAAGAATGCATGTGAGATTTGGTGTCGTAAGTCAAGACTACTGGTAGACAAATGAGCAAGGGATAAAATGTTGACATCAAAAGTACTTACTACAGTATTTACCAACTGTCCTTCAGATACTGAACATCTGTCCAGAACCAGAAGAATTGAAACATGTTTTATAAAAAAAAGCAAAACTGCATACTTTTTGACAATCTCATCAATATCTATATGAACACATTGTTTCCTGTAGTTTGTTCAATTAGATATGGATTAACTTAAAATATTAATAAAATCTGTCTATGTAGGAAATTAGGAAAAAAGCAACTAACACTCTCTTCTGATTTGCATTAGTATATTTTTTAAAAAGGAACTTGAAACATGTTATCAATTAGGAGGCATGCAAAATGTTTTGAATAACTCTATTCTAAATTCAAAACATATTATATATATATATATATCTATTATATACATCTATTCCCCAAAATCTAGCCACCTCTGTTTTTAGAAACCTTTTACAGAAAGGAGAAACACAACACCCCAATTCTCCTAACACAGAGGACTACATACAATTACTGGGTTTCTGCCTTCAAACCTATTTTACTTACAAAGACACTATATATGAGCAAGTAAAAGGCACACCCATGGGGTCACCCATCTCAAGCATTATTGCTGGAGCGGTATTACAAGATCTGGAACGTGTGGTGATGACTGATTACCAACCCACCTTTTGGGTTAGGTACATTGATGACACCTTTGCGGTCATTAAGCGATGTGACACCACCAAATTTTTACAGAAACTAAATTCGGTCCATCCAGACATTCAATTTACAGCAGAAGAAGAGAATAACAACACCTTACCCTTCCTGGATGTGTTGGTCCATCGCCTCCCAGATGGCAACCTATCAACCACTGTCTATCGTAAAACCACTCACACCGATAGAATTCTTCACTACCAAAGCAATCATCCCATATCACATAAAGTCAGTTGTATAAGAACATTATTCAAAAGAACCAAGACCCACTGCAGCACAGAAACAGCAAAATCTAAAGAGAAAGCATATCTCCTCCGCATATGCAAACAAAATGATTACCCACCAAGTTTCATCAGACGTTGCTGCAAAGATAGGACACCACACTCAATCCACAATTCTCCAACTACTACAACTTGGGCAACAATCCCGTATATCAATGGAGTCTCAGAAGCAACTGCCAGGATTCTTGCCCCATACAACATCAACATCGCACACAAACCTAACCAAACATTACGTTCCAAGCTGATGCGACCCAAAGAACAATTACCAACCAGTGATTTGTCCTCCATCATATACAAAATCAACTGCAACACATGCCAATGTAACTACATTGGAGAAACATCAAAAAGACTTAAAACTAGAATACACGAGCATATTCTAGCAGTAAGAAGACAAGAACGCTCCCAAGTCTGGACCCATATAGCTGAACATGGCCACACTTTCAACTTTAAAGGAGAAAAAGTCATCGCTCAAGATTCCACCAAAGCAGGCCATCTTTTAAAAGAAGTTTGGTTTTCTGACTGTCATTCTATTAACAGACACATCGACCTACTACCACCTTACCAAACCCTAAAAAGACATTTACAACACCACAAAGTACCTAAACACTTCAATTCAACCAACAACACAAAAACACCACCCCACCCACATACCAAACCCCAAACCAACACAACAGACATCCTTTCATCAAACATAAAGAACACAACTCTAACACAACCATGACAACTCACACAACCAACACACCACCTTATGATATTCTCACACGCAGAAACACCTCTGACCACAACATCCACGACAAACATCCAAAACACAAATCCCACATCACAAGACACTCACACACAACAAAACATACACACACAACACCTGAATAACAACAGAATATTAAGACCAAGACCAAAACTGACCCCTGCAATAAAACATGACTTATCACTTTCAATGGAATAAGCTGTTACAGCCCAATTCCAAAATCCCACAAAATCACCCACAACTGACAAACACAACAAACAACACACAAACATTCCGAACGATTATACCCAACAAGACATGCACACACAGCAACCTTGCGCTAAAGAAACTACACAATCCAAAAAACTGACTCCTATAACAGTGACGATTTCACAGCATCCAAAAAAAGGGGGAGCGAGGGCAGGCAAACCACTTACATGCCCCATGAGGGCATCTGCTTTCTCTCCCTGCAGATCCGGTCCCACAGCACCTGCACGCGAGAGGGCGAGATGAACATCCAAGCTGCATTTCACGGAAGGAATCCAGCCGGCACAAGACTTCACGCAGAGCCCTGAGAACTCGCGCAGAACAGCTGATAGGCCCGACTTTTGAATCTTGTCGGGAGACTGACTGCTGTATACTTGCTGTTATCAATGTGATTTTGTGAACAAGCTTCTTAAGCACGCTATGTGCACATGCCACACTGTAACCGTTTTTAACTATTATGTAAATTTATGCATATGCTCCCTTTGTCATTTAGCCCTTTGCTCTGATGATGTTAACAGGTTGTTAACGAAAGCTCAGCAATTAATTTTTTTACAAAAATGTGTACCCACTAATACTATGTTGGCAACTAAAGAAATAAGAACACTAAACCTGGGCATTAAATACAAACTCTTCTGTTCGCTCTTGTCTTGGCACAAAAATAATCCATGAAACCAAGGAAAAGTTAACAAAGGAGACACAACTAACCTGAACAGATTGCAGTTGTGGTGACTGAATAACTGATGGTTGAGTGGCTTGAATCACTCCCTGTACGTGGACAGTTTGACCAGAAGGGAACTGCACTACAGTTACAGAGGGAGATCCTCTTCCAGTTGTTGATCCCGCTACAGAAACCTATTGAGGTGAATAAAGCATACCATGAAAACAACTTAAGTAGCTAGCTCTCAATATTCGTTATCTGACAAAGTAATCCTTATTCAGTTAGGTTTCCACCTTTAACACAGAACAGTTTGTTTTATAATACAAAAATATATTTTGGCTATACTGGCAATTATGGAATCAAAAAGCAGGTGAAATATTATTTGTGTGGTACGTCTGCTTTCCTACTATAGCATTATTCATTAAGCATTATCAGAGATGTTATGATAATTAAAAAGAACCTCTTCCCTTCAATCAAAAGAAAATGCAGTCTCACATAAGATGTGATGGGGTAGAATTTTGTCAAGATATAACTGTTTTTGTAACACAGCTATATCATATCTTTTTATAAATTAACTGGAGTGTTATTCTTCTGCACTGAAACATTGCAAGATCATATGCCAATTTTAATGAACAGAAGGCTGAGAACTAACAACTTGCCAAAAGACAGCCACAAGCTTCTCAGTTTAATCTCACTTTGAAATAGGGATTTCCTATTCTATTTTAATATTTATTAATATTAATAATTTATTATGATTGTCTTAGCAATACTTTAGAGATGCCTGACAATAATTATATCCAAATATTATCAAAGTGTTAAGCCTCTGTGAGCTCGACACTAACGGGAGGGTCCATTCCAGTACCAACAGGGCGGCCGAACTGGCCAATACAATGGTGAAATGATACCTGTGGTGCTACGTCTCCTACAACAGACGGACTGGGTTGACCTGTTACTGTTTGCCGAAGTGGCTTATAACAACACAGTCCACAGCAGCACCAGATTCCCCCCTTTCCGGGTGGTTCATGGAGTGGAGTTTATCCCAATTCCCAAGTGCCTGCAGGGGGACTCCTCCCCTGCCAAGCCCAAGACTGGATAGATCGCATACAGGGGGTCTGCGGGATCGCAAAAAGAGCATTACAAAAAGCAGCGGCCTCAAAGTCTCAGGCCAATAAGAAACGGGCGCCTCAAAAGCCCTTTCGGGTGGGGGATGTGGTGTACCTGTCAACCAAGTATCTGTGCCTGAAAATACCCTGCAAGAAGCTAGGGCCAAAGTTCATAGGTCCATTCCGGATTGTGTAGGTCACTAACCCAGTCGCTGTGCGGCTACAACTACCCTGTCTTTTGGGGAAGGTGCACCCGATATTCCACTGCAGCTTACTGAAGCCGGTGGAAGGGTCCTCCTTTAAGTCCATGAAACGGATACCGGGTCCTGTCGCAGGGGACCACTATGAGATCCAAGAGGTGTTAGATTCCCAAATCCATCGGGGTTGTTTGCAGTACCTGGTACGGTGGAAGGGGTACCCTGTTATGGATGCATCCTCAGTGGGGGAAGCAGACATAACCCCCCCCCCGGTTGTTGCGGCTCTTCCACCGACGATATCCCCGTAAGCCAGGAGGTCATCCGCCACAGCTCATGATTAATCACGTTTTTCCTTGCCTTCCAGATGAGCCCTGGTAGAAGGGGCCGTCTGTCAAGTCTCTGTGGGCTCAACACTAATGGGAGGGGGCAGGGGACAGTGGCTGGGGGCATCTGGATGCAGCGGAGGAGGCCAGCAACAAAAATGGCAGTGACGGCCCTTCCCTCCCATTACCTGGACCGTTGAAGGGGAACCCGGTGGAACATGGCTACATGGCAGTTGGCTACGTGGCCGTCCTGCCGAATAGCTGATTGGCGCAGGGAAGCAACAGGGAGCCGGAAGCTTGCAGCGTGTCCTTGCTTAGCTGCTCTTATCAACGCACACGCCCGATGCTGGTTAGGTGGGTGGGGGGGTAGGGCCAGTTGGGAGACACATATGTAGAGCATTGGGAGGTGATTGCTCCCAGCGCTAACTTCATTTGCTGTTTCTGTGACTAAACGCATGCCAGAAAGTTCCGTGATTAAACCAACTCAACAGCTTGTTTCTTGTTGGAGCCAGGGGTGTGGCAAGGACATCTGACATAAAGCATATGAAACAGTTGACAGTTCAATATGTCAGTAGCCCCTATTTCACTTTTAATATCAGCCAGATATACTTGACAGCAGCACATAAGAATGCCCCTTTATTGTAATTTAATATACCATCATGTTTAAAAGTTTAGAACTCATCTCTAAGACATATACTTTTATCTTCCTCCTTTTTCATTCTGATTTAAAACATGTATTTTGAGGCGGCTGAAACTAAAATAAAAACTGTGTCCAATGGACACTGATTACAAATTATTTTCTGATCTGTTTAAAAATCCAAAACACTGCTGCTTTAGAAACTGTGCCCAGCTACATGTTCATTGACACTTGATTGCTGGTAAAAATGAAAAGTTTTAACAAAGAAGCATGTATGCAGGAGCTGGTCTTTAAACATGATATGGATAAAGAACGGCATGAGCTGAATTGGGAGAAGAAAATTTATCCCCATAAGGATGGTTTTCTATAAGCAGGGTGTCATGACCAAGAAGACTCCTGCCTTCGTAGGCAGCTGCTTTGCTACAAAGAGCCTCCAAGAGTGACCTCATGCCTAATTGTGTAAGGAAGAAAACTAGCCCATGCCTGTACAACATGCAGTTCAACAACATGCAGTTCAAACTGCCTGCACAACATGCAGTTCAACATGTAGTGGGGGGGCCCACTGACATTTTCTAGTCAATCCACTTCCTCTTGTCCTGGAAAACATGTTACCAAGCGTGTCTTTACACCTCAGGGTCTCAACATCGCTGCCAGCTCCTTCACTGCTACCCCTTTGCTAGCCACCAAGAGGTTGATTTGTGTACCAAGCATTCCTTTGTAGCTTAGGAAGATTTTTAATTTATCACTATGCTCCTTTCCCATGTAAATGTTAGGCAGACCAGTCTTAGCCCCGGGCTGTTTAAGACTTTATAAGATTCTTTATGTTGATAAGAATTTCTGCTTATAAAAATGAATAGTACTATTGGATTCAGTAAATATCCATTTGAGCAAAATTGACTTATCAAAGTATAACTCAAAACCTAGAATTAGTCCAGAGAGGGTTTTTTTCAACACCAGTATAGCAATAATTTCATATTATTTTTCATGTTATCAATGCATAATAGTATTAAAAAATAAACAGAACATTTCATATTACTTGAGCTATAGTGGAGATCTGATTTTGGCCGATTGGAGGTTGCATATTAACAGAATCACTTTCTGTAATAGAGTCTGTTGCACTGCCATCTTGTGGTTCAACTGTTTCCATGGTCATTTGTCTAAAAGCAAGACAGAGAGAGAAAAAGATATGAAATATTTAATAACCCTTTTATTTTTGCTTATTTACTTACTTCAATTTACTTTACTGTTACATAAAATATAGCACTATAACATTGTAACTTATAAATGTGCATGAATACAAGAGTCAACTATTTCCATGGATGTGTCCAGTGTATTCTAGCTAACTTGCTTCAACATATTAAGTTGAACTATAACAACCATAGTTTCAATAAGCATTGATCATGACAGCTGTGGATTATGGGAGTCTCGATCAAGCATTTGGACAGAGAAATATGGGAGTTGCATCTATCACATCTGGAGATTAAAGAAAGGTAACTTAAACTTTGCAGAAACTGAGACCTTATTTTTCTTCCCCAGAAGAAACATTTTCCAGGTACAATCTTATAATTGAGGCAGAGATATATTCTTAGAGATGCAGCACAATTTCATCACATTTTTATTGTTGTTCATTGAAGCTTCATTCTAGTTTATACAATAATTGGTTTATTTTTTGCTAAGCAATTAATTCCCCTCTTTTGCCAAGTATTAAAAATTTCTTGCAGATGTTATTCTGCACATTTAGACAAAAAAGTTGATATAATTACAAAATTGGTCTTAAATATTGTAGATATGAATTAGTTGCATTTAGAATATTGCTGCCTGAGATCCTATTTTTGCTTTTTATTGTATTGATTGTATTAATGGTTTGTTATTTAGAAGCCAAAGCAAACTTTGGCAGCAAACATTTATTTCTGAAAGAAATTTATAGATGGAGCATCAGTTAATATAGAGGGCTTGGCTGAGAATGACATAAAGTAACTTATCACTATAACGTATTTTTAAACTTAAAGAGATGTAGACCCAAAAATGAAAGTATTGTTATTTCTTGGAATCAGGTAGAATCATGAACAAGGTTTTGGCTGTTGTGTGACCATATACATTTTATATTCTTGTTTTTATTTACATTCTATGCTTGACTTATACTCCTGGTGTGTTTTATATTACATTCAAAGGTAGTTATATTTTATATTACATTCAAAGGTGGTTATATTTTTTAGTTTTACATTTCCTAAATTTATAGAAAAATTCAACTTTCAAATTATAGAAAATAGCTAAGGTCTGTGGCAACAATCACTGCAGAATGCTAGTTAACCACCAACTAAAGAATATTTGGTTACCTAATATAGTACTTTCAGCCAAAGACAGATAACATTTCATCCACAAAAAATTGTTGTAACTTGTTGTGATTCTGGGAATAGTATATATGCACAAACCACTCAAGTGATAGGTATTCACTTGAGCTTTTGCAATGTTGTTTGAAGTTGTATGTAAATCATTCCTCTTTGTTTCTCATGGTGGTCTTCATTCTAGTAACTCTCACATATCAGAATTTCATTTGGGCTACGTCTTTGTTAACAACTGTTCATAGTATTTCACCCCACCCTGTTGTTTTTTTTAATATGGTTGAAGCTTACCTCCACATGTTACAAGTCAAATGTAGCATCTAACGCTGCCAAACTCCAGATGTGCTGGTCTTTTGACTCCCATAATTCCCAGTCAGCATAGTCAATTACTAAATTGGCTGTGGAGTTGTAGGAATTGACAACTTAAGACATAAGATTGTCCATAGTTTTACTGTTGCTTAAATTCATGTGTCAATCTTCATCACTATTTCTCAAAATCTCAAGCACTCCCTATTTTCAATCTATAAAAAAGTTTCATTTGCTTGCTTAATACAAATTAAGTAATTACAAATTACTTAATACAATATGTGATGCTCAATTTTATATATGAAAAAATGCTTGATATATTATGGAAGCCATTTCGCTCTTACAATTCTACTTAAGAAATAAACATGGGGGTTTTTTGTGTGCAAGGCCTATATATTGAGATGCATTCCATTAGAATGGTAGAGTTGATCTCTTCTTGGTACTTGTAGAACTAGATAAATGTATACTGAATATACACATTCATGCTGTTGTAATTTATTCAGCATCTCCCAGAAAAAGATCCCAACTCCCAAGTAAAAGATTAAAAATTACTGCGTAAGTCCAAATCTAATGTATTGCTGAAACTAAGCCCAATATAAAATAATGAACTTGAGTTAACACATATACTGACATTCACACACACTTCTCTAAATGAGATTGGTAACCAGTGCTATGCTGCATTCCCTTTATCAAAACTATTACTGTAATACAGGACACAAGCCTGCTATGCAGAAGCATCTTCTAGTGATAGCTAAAAATATAATGGCTACCTTATATTAATTCTGGCATGCTGTTTTTTGCTACATTTGCTCATGATTGAATTATTTTTTTTTTAAAAAAGGACTTCTTCCTTCTCCAGACCACGCTCTTCTAGTGAATCTTGCAATGAAGTGATGTTCTGTTTGTGATGTCATAACTATTGCTATGGCAACTTACATTCACAGTATTACAAACATAGTACTTAGGGCTCTCTGCAGAAAGGAAAAGGATAGGAATAAAGGAGAACCATTTTTAGTGCTAAATGCAAGAGATTTTATAAGTGTTATAGACTAAAACCTTTTGAAACGAGGAGAAAAAAATTAACCGAAAACTTAAAGACTTTTATGAAAACATCATTTGAAGCCCTTTTTAGGAAATGCATGCAACAGCAATTTCAGTGCATTTTCATCACCAATCCTTTTGGTATATTTGGTAAATAATGCATGCTCATTTGCCATGTGAGAAAGTACATGCACAGTTAGTACAGTTACAGAAACAAACCTGTGGAACTTTAGTGAAGTCAATGCTGATCTTACATTCCAACATGCCCATGCAAAGATTAAAATCCTTAAAATGAATTTTTATTGTGAAAATATACAATTCCTCAATTGGGAAGGAAAAATATTGCCAGTAGAAATCTACATACAACTTTATCTTTTATAGAAATTATTGTCATGCCTGAAAATAGAATGGGATCATTTATGATTCAATAAACCTGCTAAATTATGCATGGATATTGCTAGTAAATAAAATAAATATACCTTTACAATTTAATTGTCTAAAAAAATAGGTTTTAACTTTGAGTGGCACCTGTTCTTTGGAATAGCATCCTAGTCGACATCTAGTTGGCTCCAACACTGCCTTCTGGAAGCTGCTCAAAACACCATCTTGGTTTGGTTAGTTTGGTTTGGTTAATTTAACTTTATTCTGTTTTGGTTAATCTGTAGATTCTTTGTGTATTTTTGTCTGTATGTTGTGTGTTTCTTATTTGTAATCCCCCTGCAACTAACATTACTAAATAGATGGGTCAATTGTAAGCATACATCCTGCAGCAAAATATTTTCACCTGCCTATTTCAGCCAAAGAAACCACTCTCCAATTTTCCTATTAGTTTAAAAATATCTTTTCCATGAAGAGCTTCTGGATTTGTAAATCATTCTTTTCATAGAACCCTAGTTGGTATCTTGAGATCACATACCGCCTTTCTTCTCCCAAGAACAGAATTCCGTTTTGGGCCTGGAAGTCTTAAAAACTATGCAACTGACACTTTTTCCCTAGTATAATGAGTTAGTTAAATTTGTATTTAAAACTCCAATAAAAAAACAGGCTAACAAACTACTTCTCCCAATTTAGGAACTTAATTTTACTGGACAAGGTATTCTATCATTTGCTAAATGGTCTAAGATGCAGGAGGTAAGAATAGAGCATGTGGATAAGTACAATATAAAAACAAATCTTGAAATATAGTCCTGAAGGATACTTTTAATCATCTTGACTGAAAATTATTACAAACAGATTTCTAGATGAACAGAAGCCTTTCAAATGTAGTCTGCAATGAGAGCATCTCTGTGTGGTAGGTACAATTGATTCTTGCTCTTTGTTGGACTATCACACAACTTTTTTAAACAGGGAAACCCTTCTCAATTATTTCAAAATCTGCACAGAAGGTAGTTGCTCTCTTCCTCCAGCTTTACATCTTGCCTGCATTCCTTGGTAGCTCCTTCAGCTTATTTATAAAACACTCACACCAATCCTAGGCAAACCCTTTTCATTTATTGGAACTTACTGCCAAAATTGCAGAGAAACCAAATTTTCATAGTAGTTGACAAAAAAAAAATACATTAAATGATGACTCGTAGCATTAACAAGGAGAGTTGCATTGGATTATATCACATCATTTCTTGAAAATAAAACTAAAATAAAAACTTGCACAAAACAGTGCTAACATATTTTATTTATTAAATTAACCAACATGTTAATAAATCTAAATGCTTTTTTCTTCAGTTCAGTCCGTTCTAATATATGCAGTACTTTCAACTGCAGGAATGGAGCATTTTTATATCCCTTTACTTTTAAAGCAGTTTAATCCTAAAAGCTACATAGATCGGAGTTGTTTAAATCAGGCTGTCTCCAATGAAAATCAAGTTATACAATGAGAATTATGGATTAACACAACTGAAGAGGGCAAACTGAAGCTAATTTGGGGCTGTTTCTCACAATCCAGTAGCCAAATAGTTTGTTTGTGGCTTGTATTGTGTAAGTCTAACTGTGGTTAGTTTATGGGTTGTTACATATTGGGCAACTCAACAAACCAGATATATTAACAAAATACCGATACAATCAGTTAGTGCAGTGTTTCTCAACCTTGACAATTTTAAGGCATGTGGACTTCAACTCCCAGAATTCCACAGCCAGCATTGCTGGCTGTGGAATTCTGGGAGTTGAAGTCCACATGCCTTAAAATTGTCAAGATTGAGAAACACTGAGTTAGTGCTTTGTTCAAACACAGTCAATACCTACTTATCCCCAATTGGTGTCCTCCAAATATGGTGGCTCTGCTGGCTAGCCATTATTTCTTGGGATTTACTTCTCATCTTTTCCCAAGGAATTCAAGGTAATATGTATATCACATGCTTCACTAATTTATCATTGCAACAATTAATGTGAGATAGGAGAACTGGAAATATAACATACTCAATGAGCTGCTTCGACAGGGATACGGCCCTCCCCACCTTGGGTGAGCCCCCTAAGCAGTATATCGGTGCCAAAGATCAAGAACTTTGTCAGCTCGGTCAGCATTAATTAGGGGAAGTTATGATTTGTTGGCCACATACTTGGAAGCCACCAGTTTCAGAATGAGGACAATATTGGGCTGCAAAACCATGTTGATACAGAATTAAGGTAGACTGATCACCCAAGCAAATAGAATACGAAAGTGCACTATGCTTTTTAAACACCATAATTCCATTAAACTCAGTCTCTAAATGTGGCAAATGTCGCTGCAGATAAGCAGCACACTCCACAAAGCTAAACTCGTGAATCAGGAAGAACCCTTTTTTGCACATGCACAAATCTTTCTCCACTCGACGAAGTTTTCCCCTCCGCGAAGAGTACGCCAGTCGGATTAAGCTCCGGTACTAAGGCACGCCCCGATCCCTCCCTTTAACCAGCCTCGACTCCTCGCCCGCCCGCCCCTCCCTTCTTCGAGTCCTCGGCACCAGTCGCTTCTCCTGCTCGAGAGCCACCCCTCCGCCGCTGCCTCCAAACGCCAGACCGCCTTGCACACACCCGACGTGTCTCCGCCCCCTCCTCGACTCACCCGAGTACGTGGCGCCCCCGTCACAGGGAAAGCAGGCGGGGAAGAGGGATTGGGCCGGGCGAGGCCGCGCGTCGCTTCACGTCAGTGCTGATGCCGCTGCGCCGTCACCGCAGGGGGCGAGGGAAATGGCGGCCGTTGCCGTCGCTGCACAGTTTTCCAGGGCCTGCAAGGAATGGAAGGCAGGGTGGGGCTTGCCTCACCTCGCCCACCCCCGCCGCTCCAGGGCCTCGCTCATTGGTCACTCGTGAGACTCAACCGCTGGAATTCGCACCAACCGTCTTTCAAGCCCCCTCCCATTGGCTAACTACGAGGGGCGGACACGAAATTCATAGCCCAGTTCGTTGCCTTTTAGGATCGAAGCAAATGCTGATCCGAATAAGGACGAACAGCTGTGTCCGGAGCTGTGCGACTACAACTCCCACAATTCCATGTAGCAGTCATAATGCACAAATATCCCTGAAAATACCACGAGTGTGAAAACCCTCCACACGACCCTTCTTTCATGAGACTGCCCTCCATCGTGGCATGTATGGGAATTAAATTCGGGCTACTATATCCGGCCTGAAACCTTGATACGGTCCCTGGAGAACTGGAGAGTGTGGCCCATGCATCTCGATGCTGTCATCTAGTGGTCGTCCGGATATCTGGAACCCAATTTCGCTACTCTTCGTGGAAGAGAGTGCTCCAGAGTCACTTGGGGGGCTTAGCTGCCTGATCGTTATGCTAAGCAAAATATAGTTAGCTACTTCCTAACATAGTTTATTATTGATTCTTTGATCATTTCCTTTTGGGAAGTTAGTGACTGGACTTTTATGCTGCCTAAACGCTGGGTTCCCATAACATTGAGAATTACCGTACCTAGCAAAGCATGTTTGCTCAAGCAGTATAGTTGTTTGATTCAGTGCATCATATTGACTT